TTGCTTTAATTACTCGAGCGTTAACTAGAACTCGTATGCGGACGTTTTTGACAAAAAGCTACTTTGAGCATTGGGTTTTCATCCACGAAACGGGTCAATGTTGAAAACTAAGTATTGAGTGTTGTTGTGACGTTTGGCTTCGACTAAGGCGTCGATACAGCTTCGTGTCTAACCCAGAATTTTCCTAAATGAAAGTGGAAATTATGATTGTGACCAATGCAAAGCTAGCCATCTCTCGTGGCCGGCTTTTCTAGTGCCCTTTGTAATTTAGTGATGCAGGATGCTATAAAACGTGGAAAAGCTGCTAGATTGATACCTGATGGCATAGAATAGGGGCTGAAGGGAACCGTCGGTTTTTTTTTTTCTTTTTATCATTACAAGTATACTGTATTCTAAGCTATTACATGCTATGTGTAAATAGCTGAGTCGGAAGTTGTTTAATAAACGCTTACGGCTAATCCTGGCCAATTATATTCAGAAACTTCATTCATGATATTTTTTTTTTAGTCCAGCAGCTCCCTCCCCGCTAGAGGTGTGTGTCAGCTGAGCACAATGTCAATTTAACAATTATTCATAATTTAGTTAGTGCGTGTTATTTGTGTGTTTATTAAGGCTCGTTTATGTCTCTTGCTGAGCACTTCTCTTTTTGGCCTATACTCGTTTGGCACCTAGAGACGCTTCTATTCGATCGCATTTTGTGATGTTTCGTTTACACAACGTTGAATAAGTACTTCTATGTTTTGGACTTTTTTTTTCTTTTCAGTGTAACATCATTTTATTACTGAAAAAAAACAGTAACATCTAGCTAAATAGGAGTAATATGACATTGGCCAAATGTTAGGTCTGTTATTACGCCTTTAGGGCTAACAAGACCTAATTTGAGCTTTACCACCACCTAGAGATGTGACATAATAATACATTATGATGTCTATCTGCAAGAAAATATTTTGTCATAGACATAAAACAGTTAAGATATTACGAATGAACGCTTTAGCTGACAAAACCAAGTTTCAGCATATTCCGATGTCCTAAGTCCTGTATCTGGAAATATGACTAATCGAATCCAAAATTTCACTTTATATTGGAATAATTGAAAGAAAGACTAAATTGATTGAATAATAAGCGATGATTCCTTACATTTTTCAAATTGATCAAGTTGCCAAAAAAAATTGACAGTTTATTTTTTTCATCAGATGGCCAATCTAACAGCCGTTGAAGTCTCGGGGCCTTCCGAAAAGCCTAGCATTGCCCAAAGCTTTTCCATGTAGACGATTTTTTAACATTTTAATTTCACCCGTCAGGCCTACATGGTTTGGAAAGGACGAGTACCGATGGTTTGCTCCATTAAAAACAATACTGACAATATTAGACGATTGCGTAATCGATCGCCACCATGGGGTCCACCAGCTAACGGTAATAACAGTAACAGTAATCCATATGCGATGATCGAGCTTGTTGGGTGTAGGAAAAACGGGGGCTACAGCGTTTGGGTCACTTCCGGATTCGGGGCACAGACTATTCGATTTACTACGATAGCTTGTGATCATTTCACTGCAATAGGTAATAGGTCAATGAATGTATAGGAGGAGACAAGTTCTCAGAAACGTTTTCGTTTTGTCATGACGATGCCCCATTCTAAAGTTGTGTGAGTGTGCAAGACGACCTAAGGTGTGAGCTAGATGGAGACAACCTGGCTAAAAGGTTGTATTGTAAAAAATAGTAGAAATAATGAGCGCAAGCGATGCAGCTTATTCTTGACTCCAAACTAATCATGCATATTTATAATGAACTGAAGACTATGACAGAGGCCCACATACTCATCTCAGTCAGAATTTACAGGTACTGGCCCATGTATACGTAACAGTCGGTAAGTTGGCGTGCATATGTACTGTTGGGATAAAGTGACTTGTATTGCAAGGTTACTAATAAATATAATAAATTTCTACGCTGCATCAGACAGCGCTTGCGAACTGTCTGATCCAGCGAGAAGTTCAAACGTTATGCTGGAGTAGCGTGACACGCGTTTCAAGTTCTCCTTGGGCCTTGTGTTTTTTCCGCTTTGGACAAAGCAGTCAGTTTACCCCTCTGTGCGTGTGGCTTATCGCAGCGATGCTATACTGTGCTCCGACAACGTTCACGGTTCGTCGGTGTTAAGAATAAATGGCCTACTACGCGTTAACGGTAAAACAAACGCCCTTACCTCCTTTCCGCATCTCGTGGGTCCAGCAGGCCATCGTTAGCGAATGGGAAAGCCGAAAAAAGGGATCAAATGAAGAAAGCAGATGTAGATAAAGAAGGAGTGAGTGCTTTAAAGGCGGGCTCTCAAAAAAAGCTGCTGCCGCCGTATTACTCTCTGTGGGAATGAAGTAGTGAATTAAATATCCATACCAGTCGCGTTTGTTTAGAACTGGGCTTTTTTATCGGGGCAAGGCCAATCGGCTTTATCAGAAGTACTATCCTAGAAATGAAACATCGCAACTAAACGATAAAACTATTTTTGCATACAGTGTGTTATTTTAAGAGTAGCGGGTTAAAAGAGGTGGCTTCCGTATGTGCTTGTTGTAAACAGTTGAAGCCTCAAGAGTCTTCAGCAAGTGTCGCCCTCTGCCGGACAGGAAGTATGCTATCGTGATTATTTAGAACTTTGACAATAAATCGACAATAACTTTCGGTGCCTCGAAACATTTCTACAGTCGCCCGTACGGAGAACACCGACAAGTGCGCCTTTCTTGGCGCAATGTTACTTGCCGAGTCAGATCCCACGGAAAATCACACCGTTCAAATATGCGACAAAAATGTTAAGACAGGATATCGCAGGGCTGGGCACATCTGTTAGCTTCATTAAAGAAAATCGTACATCTGTGTCAATCTCTATTTAGAGAGTTTACACCTGTAATTATTTCAAAACTGGGCGCGCTTCGAGAATATTCCTCAGTACGTCTCGGGTTTTAATGCTTGGGAATGCGAGCATTCAAGAAGCAGATATTTCTACTTTGTCACTTTTCAACGGCCTTTCATTGTAGAGGATAGTCGCGTCCCGTATATCTCGTATGTATCACACCTTACGATTAAAAGAAACAGTGCCTAGAGAGTTGGATTCTCAAACGGGGTAATTGCTATGGGAGAGACATTTGCTTGTTTCTCGCGTTACAAGTTGAAGGCAAAAGGATAAAGGAAATACGGCATTTTTTCGACGGTGTTCACTATTTAACATCTAGGTACGCAGCGTTTGCTGACCAAATGACGATATGGGTTAGGATGAACGGCAGTATAAAAAAGAGACAAAGGTCACTATTATTAGTTTTCGGTGTTATTCGGAAAGACCGAACAACAATAAAAGCATTACTGGTGCGTGTATGGCTATGAGAGGTCTTGTTCCTGTTATTAGTTGGCAACCCTGATTACGGGCGGCACCTAAAACATCGTTATTGTACAAGGATTTCTGGCGAACTTGGCGTATTATAACATCAGAATTGGACTATGTTGAGTGACCAGTTTCCGTAACACTGCTAGGCATTGATTCGTTTTGTCGTATATCAAGAGTATCCAGTCGTTATCATGTATCGTAGGTTTTATTACCCATTTTTCTAATCAGCATATTTGTCCATTCTCATCATATCTACCAGTCAAAACTGGGCATGACAAGCTCAAAAACAGTCGGTAGAAAAGGCAACACGATGCGATTGGGTCGGCTCTGTAATACCCCTTGTGTACTACCCCATAGAGAGCGACATCGAGTCCGGATTATGGTTAAAGCAATTATTTTTTGGAAGTATATTGAACGTGGAAAACGTCTTGATACAGTTTTATCGTAGCTATGCTTTGTACTATATTGAACATCTTCAATCTTTTTAGTAGATTATTTTTTGCCTTATAGGGTAGAAAGAAAGTAGTTTTCATTTTGACAATCTCACTTGCGAAAAAAATGCTCTAACTTAAAGATAGGTGGAGCTACTTTGTGTGTAGAGGTCGACTCAGTAAGTCGACGCAAATTGCTAGTTGCGCCATCTGTGTTGCCGCCAGCAGGCGAAATTTCACTCCTATTGACGCTCCTTCAATTTGCAAGTGACACACTTGCAGTGGCTACTTCACTAAAAACTTTGGACTAAGAATGTTAGAAGGAACAAATGGTGGTTGTGGCCGGTCGGTGTAACTAATGAGCGCCCACTGCAGTGTGAAAACTTGCATCATATGAAAAAAAAACACTTTGTTTGACTGTCAACGGGTGCAAGCCTGCAAAACCTTGGTTCATAGAACCCATAGGAGAATGAATGTTACAAAAATTTAAGCAAACGTTGCTTTGGTTCTTGTTTATTTATGATAACGCTGTGTATAGTCCAATATCCTTGACCCTTAAGTAGTATTCTCAATGTTTTCGGACGAGCAGTTTTTTTTTAATTGTCAGATACCCATGTCTTCATACTTCGTTATAACAGGATGTTCCATGAATTTTTGAAATGGGTGTATTACAGAATATTTCGCCAGCTCACATACAACCACAGAGCAATTGAATCACAGCTTTCTACTCTAACCAGAGCAATATAATCACTATTTGGGGAGCCCCCCTTTGTCTGAAGGGCCATAATGTACGAACGGAATCGAGTTATTATTCTCATACGTATTTTTTGCTTTTCATTAAAAAAATTTATTAAATAGTCTATCGTAAACACTTGGAATGGAAGCTTTTTGAAGCATACGACTCCTAAATAGTGATATCTACTCGGCTGAAATATAATCATATAGGTTAAAATAGGGTGGACTTGAAAGAACGAGGTTCACAAGTATTAGCGCTCTCAAAAACGATAAGGAAAAACTTTTCATAGGGGAATGACCGATATGTATGTGGGAACGGAGGACGCTGATTCTTATTTTAGGTTCTTCTGATTCCAGTCAGATTTATTCGCTTTTCAGAACAGTTTTATAATTTTAATTAATGAAGAGAGCATTTTAGTTCAATAGTGAGATTAACATTTGACACTGATGGTGTTCTGTTGCAGATTATTTAAACCGTGGAAGTGGCGTCGGAAAAAGAAATCTGAAAAGTTCGAGGCAACTTCAAGGAGCCTGGAGCGCAAGATCTCAATGCGAGCATCAAAAGAAGAGCTCATTCAACGTGGGGTGTTGCGAGCCCAGGACTTCAGCCCGCCTCTCGGCACCACCTCACACGATGTCAACTCAGTCAACAAGCTCGGTAACCTTTCAGTAGCAACCGCGAATCAATCGATACTGCTTGGTGTACATTTTTTACAAAGTCGCTCAAACATGTTACATACAAAATATCCCATCACAATTGAATTTTAGTAGCTTAAGGGTCTCAAAAAAGCAAGAGCTCAAAGCGGCCGACAAGTACACAAGATGCAAAAAAGCGCAGGAAGTATCAAAAAGACGAATCTTACCGGTTCGTTTGGACAGTCTAATTGGTAATTGATATTCTGGTCGTAAAATCGTTCACTTCTCTACAAAGAGTCAAGGTATATTAAATATGGCTTTTTGGGCTTTTCTGATCTTTCGAGCCCAGACTCCATTGGGATTTTCAGGTTTGCCTCCTAGAAGCCTTCTTGGACTTTTTTTTTAGAAGCCTGAACATAGTAACGCAAACCTTCGACTTCGGACAAAGAAGAAATTATAATCTTGAATAGATTGGATTATAGTTAATATTCGGTCAAATTTTGAAAACGATGAACCGGTCTTCGCTATGATGAATTTGCTGTTTTGTTTTAGAAAGGCTGGCGCTCTTTTGGTTCTAAGAATATCGAGTGAACGTATATCCGCTACGACAAGCAGCCTGGCAAAATATGTTTGAGTTTGCATGCTTTATTCTGTATGTATACGAGCTAAGCATGCAAATCCCTCTCTCCCCTATATATATATATATACATATATATATATATATATATATATATATACACTATATGTGTTTTCAAAAGTACAAGAGCAATATCCGTAGTCGCTAGATTGCTTGCTGCATGAACCATTTCTAACTGCACAATATTGTACTACAATGACTTCTGTGTGGTCAGGTGAAAATTTTCACGGCAAGAGCTGATCTTGAGAGAAATCGATCTTACTGCTTTATTATATAGGTGTGTTAGATTATGTTAAAGTCTCCTTTTGGGTTTCTTCATTGTGATTGATTGCCTGATTGCAGGCAAAATTGGTTTCGCTAGCAGTGATGGCAATGCCGCTCTGTCCGTGCTGGCCCTGCCCGAGCTAGGCGTTGTAGACGAAGGCGGTCACTTGGGTCCCCTAAGCAGTATGAGTGGCTTAGGAAGTCTGACTGGGGGCGTTGGTGAGGTGGGCCTGATTCCTCCCCCCCCAATGTTTTCTAACGATACGTCCCCCGCTCCTTCGCCGACGTTGCCTCTTCGGATTGCCCAACTCACCTCTAGTCTAAACCTCAGGTTTTCCCAAATGCAGCAGCAACAACAACAGCAGCAGCAACAATTACAAGGAGTTCCTCAACAGAGGGATTCTCCAACGACAGGAGGATCTGGTCTTCCGGGAGCCGTCCTTGGCCAACAACAACAAGTTGCTTCGCAGCTTTCAAACGGCTCGACAAATGGTACGGAACGGATTAATCGCAATAGACTTAATAACTCTCGTTAATATAACGTATAATCTGTTTTTAAATTAATTTGTTTCAGAGACTTATTGTTGGGAAATTTAGACAAATGTATTTAAATTCATGTTCAGCACGTTTCTACTTAGAACTTTATCAGAACTGCAGTTCTACTAATCTGTTTGAACGTTGTCCTGGAAAATACGGCTTAGTCGATACTGCCGGTAAAAAACAATGGGGACTCAGGCTGGCAGATGTCTACGTTTAGATTTGTAGAGGAGGTGGTTGAGTGGGAAAATGATTGGTGTCGTAGTTATGCGTGCATTGTCAAAACGTCAACTTTATTCGAACTTCTATGAAGTTACAGCACTGACCTGTTTAGCAAAATGGCTCCCTATATCTAATATTTGGCGCGAGCGCGCGGCGAGACTCGCGTCATCTGTAGCGTATCGTAGGAACGTAAGGAGCGGCATCGGGTTCTAGTAGGGGTTAAAGATATGACACTGACTATGAGACAGGTTTATATTTAGCTAAGGAAGGCTATGGGTCCTGATAGAATTTACTGGAGGGGCCCGTTCCGCTAACTTTGAGGTGGGGCGATGCACTATGGACTATGTCGCACCTGTCGCTACTCGAGTATCTTCGTTTAGCTCCTCACTGCACCGTTGCTTAGTTATAACAGTGTTCGTCGAGTATGGAGCTCCCCTCCACATCAAGAAGAGTTCCTTTAAGTAAATGGCGTCCGCGTTTGCATAGCGCTATTCCGTGTACCGTATGTGAGTCGTTCTTTTTTGCCACAAAGGACAAACCAGTCACACTCCACTATGGTATACCATGAATTATCTTATGGTGTCACTTCTAATTTAAACCACGAGCATGTTCTTTGTGCTGATATAAACTTATCTTATGCGGTGTTGATGCGTATATGGCTATGCCATAAACGCCCTTGTAATCTTTAACTGAGGTTGGATAAGTGGCGGTAATTAATAATAACAACTATTAGGATGGGTTATCGTTCGCTTGATGTTGTTACGAGCCCGTTCTGACTCGTGCAATTGTGTCAAGTAATTGCGCTTACTTGTTATAAAACGTACTCTAGTCTATAAAAATGACGTATTTCGCTGACCGAGGTATGATTCCCGAATTAACATTGTTGGCGTGGTCACCCATGGCGTGTTCAGTCCAGATTTCCATGGGTGGAAGTATGAGCGTGGAACAAACGCAGCGCGTCTTGTTCTGACCACTGGTGTATAAATAACAAAAATGTATTTAGTTTCACGTTTTTTTAACGTAAATAACTAGTCAGTTTTGTAAACATGTTGTAACCCCTAAGATGTACGCATAAATCCATATATACAAGCATCGTCGGAACTATCATTGCAATTATTCGTTGCAGCTCAGGAAGAGATCGGCATGTTTACCTTCTCTGAAGCTATACCAATTACCTAAGTACTAAACATGATCATTATTACTATTGGGCGTCATGGTCAGAAGAGGCGAACCAAAACCTATTTTATAGTCAGTTCCTTGTGCTGGCTTAAGTCAATACAAGTGTTATCATCTTTTTTATACGTGTATGCAGCTTAATTAACCGTCATGCCTCCATTTCCCACGCGGAGATAAAAAAAAAAAAGCCTCGATAACAACAAATAGGTACTATAAGCTTGAGCCCTTTACAATGGCACTTAAAACGAAAGGTCGTGTTGTTACCACCTAACGTTGCAGGTTTTACTGCTTGGTTATACACAACAACTACGCGTCGCTTATTATTTGCATTAATAGAATATCAAAGAATATGGAGATTTTTTATGGGAACTTAGGTACGCTATCCCCGCACTAAGGCCTGCTTCGAACTCCGTATCTTGTTCTCATAAATGTTAACAAACTATCGTAGAGAACATAACGCCAGTGGCAAGATCATTTCAATCAATCGTAGAAAGCCTCTTATGACTGACATAGAAAAATTCTGATGGAAACGTATTTGTTTAAAATCTTCCATATTTTTGGTAGGGTACGACGAATTCAATTTTTCCTGAACGATATGTGGAATTTGTCGTACCTTGATCGAACAAAATGTGTATGAATATGGGGCACCCAGGTTCGTGTTCATGTCGAGTTAACTATGAACGTACTATAGACTTTTATCACATGTAGGCTAGTGCCTTCAGGATTACAAGTGCTTCGATGTATTGAAAAAACTTTCAGGCCCTGGCACTGAGTGCGTCATTGGGAAAGTGGCAGGTCTCTCGGGCCAGGGCGGAATGTCGTCTGTGGATTGCCCCTCAGTGGTACCGCCGCCCCCCGGAGAGACGCCTAAAGATAACGATGACCCTGACGATGGGGGCTTTTCCAACTACAGCAGTAAGCACCAGGGCCTACAGCAGCAACAGCAGAGCTTTATACTTCAGCAGCAGCAGTCGCATCCTCAACAGGTACAATTCATGGTGTGATATCGTTTCGTTTGTTGGCATTGGAATATGTTGTTAGCTAATGAGCATCTTAGTGATCAAATCATTAAGGGCATTATATTGTGTTCCGACGACAAAGTAGCCGACACACAGTGCTAGACAATGTCATCTTTCGCTGAGATGTAAAAGTTCCTGTAGGAAATTTGATTTAGCTTGACCGTAACAAAAATAGTACCACATAGCGTAATATGGATTCGTGCTATGCTGTGCATCGGGCAGATTATGTTATACAGGAAAATATGGTCGAAAAGTTAGACTCAATTTTTATTCATTTATAGATGTAGGCATAGATATTCTACCATATGAGTGTTCCTACAGATGAGAATTATATAATTTAAATGCGGATGTCGAACTGCACTATAATTTTTTCATCTCAATGTTTCAATTTTTTCATTTATCCTCTATGTCTCCGTATTTCTTCTGATCCCTTTAGGTGCATCAGATGCAACACATGCAGCTTTCGCAGGTGGCTCCGGGTGGCCAACAGACGCAGGTGCTCCTTCAAGCACAACAACAACAGCAACAACAACATTTGCAGACTCAGCACGAGCGACTGGCTAGCTTTTCTAACCTGCAGCAGCAGCTCCAGCAGCAGATGCAAACCCAGCAACAACAGCTGGAGCAGCAGCAGCAGCAGCAGCAGCAGCAGCAACAACAACAACAACAACAACAACAACAACAACAACAACAACAGCAGCAGCAGCAGCAACAGCAGTCAGCAGCCTCTACCTTTAAGCCTCTTCAACATAACGGTAGGCACCGTTGATAGGTACACTTGGAAGTCAAAGCTAAATTATGTTTTGAGCGCGATAGAAGGCAAGCCAGGAAAAAATGTGCCAAACTGTAATGTGCAAGTTGAACTATGTTAAAATGAACTCAACGTATAGCAGCTTCGGACCAAATTGGTTCTACTAATTGTTTTCATTTATGGGCTGTTTTAGATGAAGAGGCTGACAAGGAAGAGGCAGCACGTGGCTCCCCTTTGCCCCCATTGGGTACTCCCACGGGAGGCCCACCGGCGTCCGGGGGCATCCAGTCGATGGGTAGCGTGCCCCGCAAGTCTGCCCTTAAGAAGACCACTTCTGCACTGGCTGTCGGGTCCGGCTTAGCGGGAGCCGGTGGGTCCCCTAAACTCAGCAATGGACAGGGGGGTGCAGGCCTTCCTGGATCGAATCCTGAGAGTCCCACTGTGGCGCAGCAGCCGCTTGTAACGGCACTGAGCCTCGCCCAACTTCGATTACGACCAACAAATTCTGGCAATGCAATAGGATCGAGCTTACAAAATAGTAATGGAGTGCCATTCGGCAAGGTGAGCATTTAGTCCGTGTAGACGATTTGACTATTTTCTGCACAACCCCGATCATTTTGAACAATTAATGTTACTCCTGTAATCGTACACATGGGCCAGGTTTTACTGGCGCAGGAAACAACCTGCATACATGGAGCCCATCTCCGTCCTCAATGATGTCCAAGGTGATCAATGTCGTTACATGAATATTATTACTAGGGTATTTCAAATGTGTGTGCAATATTGATGCGTTTTAGGCGCCACCGTCATATAGTGCTGCAATGCAGGACAAAGAGAACAAGTCATCTGGAGCAGGAGGAGGGGTTAATCAGACAGGGGGTCAAGGCGGGAGTCTCCCACTAAAGCCGCCGCCTCCGTATCCTGCCGTGTTGGCGCGTTTTAATTCGGTGGCTTCGAACGCCGACAGTGATGACGAAGATGATCCCGTAAAATGGAGAGATTATTATGGTGATGATGAACAAGGACGGTTGCAGGCAAAGATTGCCAGGAAGGATTCACTTGCGATGAAACTCGCTCAAAGACCTGACAAGTAAGATGCCATGGGTGGCAACTCTGCTTGATTACATTGTCTTTACCAAGTACAGCTCATGTCTCCTGATCTAAAGATGTTTCTATTGACGACAAATTTGAAATACTCGTGTTACACTGGAATCCGCTTTTCAACGTTTTTTTTTTTCTTTTCATTCTAATGTTATGCGATTCTATGCATTATTACTGTTATTATATGGCTGTCGTAGGCAAGAGCTGATTGAACGCAATATTTTGAAGGATGAAAGCTATTTTCGGGATCGGGCGGCGACTCGGGAGGCGCTCAGTGGTAAGTTGACGCGCAGATTGAGCCTTCGGCCGACGGCAGAAGAACTTGAACAGCGCAATATCCTCTACCAGAATACACCTGAGGAGCGGCTCAAGGAAAAGGATATGAAAAAAAAGGTGCGTATTTGGGACTGTTGATAGATCACACACTGGTAAAGTATATTTTCTAGAGAATCCTTTTAGGATGCTTGTAGTATACTATCTATTGAGTTTTACTTCTTTAGTTGTGCCGAACAGTCATCACAGTTTCTATAAACGATTGCATCGTTGTTCTGGCAAAAAATGATTTGTTGTATCCCTCATACACGGACTCTAATCGGCGTACGGTAAATAGGTGCTCATTAGAAAGCTGAGCTTTCGTCCGACGATTGAGGAGCTTAAGGAGCGTAAGATCATTCGTTTCAACGATTACGTCGAAGTGACGCAGGCGCATGACTACGATCGCAGAGCGGACAAGCCGTGGACGAGGCTTACGCCTAAGGACAAGGCAATGATCCGTAAGGAACTCAATGAGTTCAAGGCGCAGGAGATGGAGGTTCATGAAGAAAGCCGACACCTGACGAGGTTAATATCAGGTCCATTCCCCAATAATTTTGAATACCGTATGAATTTAAATGTATATTATTATAGTGTTAGGCAGTTCAAATTCGATTAGTTTTACCATAGGTATTGTTAGTCACGTATTCAGGTTTTTTTCTAAAGGGCAGCTCCTTTAGAGTTGTTGATCTCGTGCATTGATTCTCACCCTGACTACCCCACGCTACCTGACTCGATTGTTTGTTTTTTCAACCCATCTAACTTCAGTATTTTACTTTAATCCGAGAACTCGTTGCAGTACCCCTATCAATTAGAGTGAGTACATTCCCCAAGGAACCCTGTTTAAGAAATAAGTGTTTCTAGTGCTATTACGACTAAGCCGTCATTCTATCATCGTTGAGTCCCTATTCTTTTGTCGTTATTTTACGATATCGAAGTGAAGCCGACCTTTAGTTCCAGTATGCCGCTTCGAAAAGCAATTAAGTAGAAATATGAAAATGCCACACATTTTTTCTCGGCCGTTTTTTTGAAAAACCGTATGCCCATATGTTTTACGATCTCTTTTCATTGCAAAGCCAAGTACATGCACGTAAACCTCAAAAATCATTATAATCATTTCCGAAGTAGTCGTAACATACAGATTCATTTTTATTTGCTTCGGAGGACAGGAAAAATCATAGAGTAAACTTATCTGATTAATTTCGAAAATACGGTTCGAGGTGAGGTGCGCACATAAACGAATCAGTGAGTGATTAGACTGCTATTTATCGATAGTAACTTACGATTATTCAAAATGTGGTCGTGTTACAGATTCCATAGGCCATAAAGGCCAGTGGTGTGATATTAGATGTGACCAGAAATTGCTAGGGAGAAAACGATACAGAGAGAAAGGATGAAGAATAGGCCAAGGCGACAGATAAAATGGCTGGATGGGAGACGACACTTTCAGCGTACATCGGAGTTCGTCATGCGTTTCACTAGAGTCTTGAAACTGTGACAAGTATGGGGGCATTGTATATTATTGTAACGACAGGCACATCCTTAACAAACGGATCGCTACCGCTCTCGATAGCCTCAGTTCGGTCCTGATGAAATCCGTTTGCATACAAACAGACACACGTGCAGGTTCGCATGCATCCGAGAAGTGATTGTAATATACAAATACACCCAGTTTCCCACCCAGGCTTTTGGGTCAGCGGCGAGCAAAAAACACTTAATTTCTCTTACCCTGACAACCAGCTGTACCGCTGTGCGCTGACGAAAATCTAAACGATGATCAACTTCTAACGACACCAGTCATTAGTAAGCCGATTTAGAGAAGCTTCTTGCTGTGGTGGCAGCTGCCTAGCAAACTGTAGATCGCCGTTTGAGCATTTTGTTAATTATTATTGCTGTTAATGTATTGATCAATTAGCACGCATCCTCGGTGTATTGCTGCTGCTGGTGCTGCTGGTGCTGCTGCTGCTGCTGCTGCTGCTGCTGCTGGTGCTGCTGCTGCTGCTGCTGCTGCGGACCGCCATTAACAATAGCGACCAGCACAAATGTATATTACTTTTTTGACCTTTATTTTCGTCTACCTCTTTAAGGAAAAGGACTGATCAGTAGATGCCTGTAATCACTCGTGTACATTTGCTCATTATCAACACAGAACTAAATCAGACATAGAGCTAACGTAAAAAAGGATTGTTCGAGCAGAATTATGAGCACAGTTCATGCTGCTGTAGTTATTTCTGTTACTGTTTCTAAAGTTAAAGGTGCCGAAGCCAAACATCTGCGTCAGACATGTGAGAGCGATGATATCAGTTACATTTTTGTAGGCAGTATCTGTTGCATGTGCTGATCTGTGTCAACGTACGAATTATTCGTACGACGTGGAACATATTATTTCTACGCTCTGACCTATGATATATATATATATAGACGTAAACAGTTGTGCAGCGATGCAAGTGATCTGCAGTCATTCAGGACGGTCGAGCAACTGAGGATTGTTATAATAAGCGAAGGCAGAAAGGGGCAAATATCGAGGGTGTGGATCGAGGGCAAGTGTAAGATGTGAGAAATCGTTTTCCAGAATACGCGCAATGGACGTCAGTTATTATTACTATTAAACACCAAGCAATAGTAAATCGCAGCGCACTGACAGAACAACCCGTTGTGAAGAAAGAAACAACAATCGCACCCAATAATGATAATACTACAAGCTGTATCCATGTTTGAAAACGTAAAGACTGACACCCGCATTCAGCCATCCTCTAATATCAGTTTATACGAAAAGCTCCAAGCTCATCTTTATTGCATTCTGATATGCTGCAGCTCAACTGGTTTCCACGAGGTCCGGTGGCACCAGAAAAGGCGGCCACTAAACTTGTTTTCCCCTTATTTCGATAACTGACAAAAACAAAGCATTATGCTGCCTGCATTAAATTCTAGACTAGCTACAGTTGCAAACGAACCTATTGATTGATTGATTGATTGATATCGTATCGAACGGTCGGTAGAGCGTTATCAACAAACCGATTAACTGCCGAAAAATGACGGTAACAACTACAATTAATAAAGGCTGTACTGGCTAAAATATGGATAGCGTTAACGTTTACGGCTCTAAATATTAAAAAAAGCTTACGTTTGTCATTTGTTCGACTCTTGATAGGAAAAGACACGTCGTCCTATCCTCGATAGCCATACTCCCTGATAATACCGCCTCTGAAAACAACAGTGTCGGATTTACCACCCAGTTGTTCTAGTGATGCACCAGCTACACGACGACAACGATTGTAACAATAACATGTGTCACCATTACTACAGCTACTATTCCAACGACACTAGGTAAAACTAGAACCCCGGATCATTCAACGATCCAGATACTGTTCTTGTCGTTCTTCTTTTGTGGGCGGGGGCGGGGGCGGGGGCGGGGCGGGGGTCTTGGTATGGCGGCAACGTCCGCAGCTCATCCCTAACGGCTGATCTGCCAGCAACACTCACGTAATTGGACAATTACTAAATCACATAAACGCGCCAGCGAATCGGACACGAAACGCCAAACGAGCTTGAACGGGATAGGAAGAGGCTGGAATGGACAAAAGAAATAAACATAAAAATGCAGCCGGTCCTCTAACTGAATGACACTTTCATTCAACCAGAATCTACAGTATCCTGTGTTTGCCCTTTGTTCCCTGTCAGTTGCCTCCGCCAGATGCATAACGGACAGGGTATGTCTGGAGAGCTGGACCTACTGCGAAATACGCATTCACCACATCTGTCGTTAGTGGCCATAGGTACCTATTCTGTCTTCTTCAGTTAGAGCTTCATGAATCACCCGACGAAAGCTCTCTCGTCCTCGAGGCCTTCTCAGCACCCAACTGGACGAAGAGATGGACAGGTCTGATGAAGCCAAACATAGCGTAGAACCTCAAGTGCTATCCATGTGTCTAGAGGAAATGCCTCTTGGTGATATATGGATCGCTACTAGTCCCAGAAATAAATCGATATTCCTATGCAGATTTACAGAGAATGCTCCCGCAGAAAGCAACCCTGCCTACATCTGCCACATCCTCACCACGACGTCACGTGGCTTTTGCCGCACTCAGGATTTGTTGCATGTCCATTTTGACTTGACCTATGCCAGCCGATGCCATACAAGCTGACCGTTAACGCAATGTATCATTATTTAATAACAGCCTGTAATTAGTGCTAACTATCAGTACTGCTGTTTGCTCACTACGGCTGGTGTGCAGTAAAAATCGTTCGGCTCTATTCGGCGGCGGCAGGGGCGGCGGCAGGGGCGGCGGCATCGGTCATCAAGTACCTACGTCCTCCATCGAAGGGGCAAGCACGTGTCACGATAACATAATGTTGCTACTGTAGCTATTTGTTAAGACTGCTTTTTACGGTAGGCCGGTGCAGTAGTGGGCGGACAAGATAATGCTTTTAGCGATCGATTCCAATCAGAGCCAGTATGTATCTAATATGAATGATTTAGTGGCTAGACATGTAGAAAAAAACCTTTCTAGCTAGAAGGTGCAGCACGTTCTCCGCCATATATTTAAATAGTCGTGCAACGGATTTTGAGAAGGATAAATAAAAAAAGATATACCTACCAAGTATCTCTAACGAGAGAGTGAGATGACATAACAAAGGAGAGCAATTATATAAATCTATATAGAATTATTACATATAAATATAGAATTACATAATGAGCAAGCAGAAGAAAAAGATAAATAAGAAATTGCATAATTTATATATATAGACATGAGTCTGTGTACAACCTAATATCATTTCCTGCAACGGTTGTTCCTACAGATGAATTGACATAGTCCCCTGCTGCTGACTGTGGTAAGATACCAGCTGCGACGTCTAGATGAGCAGACTTCGGATGAGTCTGTTCTTATCTGCTAGATACACGCGTCTGATATCTGCCAGGAAATGTATTAACAGAGGGAGTAAAATGAACTACCTATGGACGAACATTAGCCACAATTAGGCAAATAGCATTTGGGAATGTGTATTCTAGTGAGGCTGGTCCAGCTACTACGCTTTCTGTTTGTTTTCTCTGTTAACTATCGGATCGCCTTAGCCGACACGCGTCATAAATGGGAGTATTCCCTTCAGTAAAAGAGTACACCGCAACTACTGATATAACGATATAGTCGAAATTAACATTGCAATGAAATATCGTACAAAGCGATCCGACAAAGGGAAAACTTATACTTCAGTAGCAACCCAAAGAAGTTCACAAACGGTGGCAGAAGCATGCTATAATTGAAAAACGAAAGCAATGATTCAGAAGTGGTGACCTAAAAAGATATAATCAAAGGTAGTACACATCCCACAGACAAACAAACAAACAAGCAAGCATGTAGCTCAATCGCTACTTCTGGTCAATTAATTAATTAAGTAAGAACGATTCGTTAAATAAAGGAACATATAGAAACGCCGGTCGTTGCTGCCCAGTCTGCTTCGAGTCACGGCCGCGATTGTCGAAAATACAATAGCAATTCAAATACAAAAACATCTTCTGACAATTAGTGTTCCTATTACTACTAGCACCTCATATATTATGATAATTCATAGATTAGTTAAGAACTGTAAAAAAATACAAACAAAGAGCAACAATTGAGCAACAATCTTCGTTATCAAGCGAAAGGTTGTAGCAGAGACGTGATCGATGAGCACAGATTTGACGGGACTGATCAGGAGAAGCAAGGAACACACGGTGGAAGCCTAAACATTGTATGGACAGGAGATTACAACCTGGTTGTTTTTCCTACGAACAAATGAGCTGTATTTGAATTGAGTAAACAATTGTACGATAATTGATAGATATATATATATATATATAGAAAAAAACATGAATTATTTGAGTAGGGCAGTTCTCAATGTTTGTCGAGAATTGTACGCATTGATCTATGAAAAAACGCTGAGCAGACAAATATGATTATGTCGCGAGCACGTCAGACTCGAGTCCAGCTCTCAAAAAATGTTACAAACAAAGATCATATTTGATCCTATAATAACAACTGTAATGACCTGCGGCAAGGAGAGATACAGAATTATGATAATATAGCAGTTTGTATTTATTATAAGGTACATGACGCTGCACCATCACGCTCGGGATGGCACATGTTGAACAAAGGACAGTCTAGTATATACATATATATATACACAATGCTCCCATAAAATGTTCGAAACAAAAAGTAGAAGTCAGGTCGCCTAGAGTTGCCTACTTTTGACCCTAAATTAAGGTCAATTCAGTTAGGTAGACGACGACCCGATATATATTCAAGGCCACATTCAATGTGTCGATAGCTTTGCCGTCGAACTTCCAAAACGTTAAGATAAATCCGAATTAAAAACCGCTTAATGATAACGTTAAACCTTTCGGGGAAAATAAATATCTTAAATAAGCTGGAAACAACCCAATATATATGTAAAATGTAACAGTTAGCCTACGATTTATTAATCTAAACACGACAACAATGAGATATTTTTGCTATATCCCGGTTCAAAGAAAGTACTCTTTTCAACCCAAGAGACCTTCTGACAGGGAACGGAGTCGTCAACAATCTCTATTCTGACCTGCCGATTATCTTGAACCGCTGCGTATGCTCTTTTTCCTTTCAAACGCAAACAATACTAGTGCTACAACTCCTATTTCACTACGAGATTGACTTGGATACGCTTTTCATCCTGGGCGTAACAAACGTTGCATGCCCTTGGTTGGGGCTTTTTGCTACGAAACATTTCGAAACATTTGTTTGAGGACGTAGAACGATCGCAAATTTCCAGCAGGTGGCTAGTTAGATTATGTCAACAACAAACGCATCCATGAACAAATTATCATTGAAACTACGACGAGTAATCTACCTATGATCCAGTGTAGTTTCTCATTTGTCTCTCCTATGAGTAATAATTGGCCGAACCAATTGTTTACTCATGTTTCAAACTAAGCATCTGACAAGCGGATGACCGGCTACTGTTAACGCTTTCAGTCAATTTGTTATCGAGTGCATTCGATAAAGAAACGAGCTGTGCCAGATATCCCAGGATATCAAACTATTCTCAAGGAGACCTAGCGTAAGGACGGAAGGGCTGTAGGAAATACGGCGCCTTCTGGACGACGCGGGTCACTAACAGGATAGTGTGAGTAAATGATTTGTCGGCCACCATGAACGTCCCTCAAGCATGTAAGTCGAATTTCCATGCTGATTGGTTACTTCCTGGCTTTCTGCAAGCGACTAACGAAGAAAACAGCGTGGTGAAGGAAAAACACTATGGAAAATAACAAAGATATCTAACGCTTTCTATGTAAGAAGGAGTCTAGAATGATATGAATAGAGTGGAATCGACATGGCAGCGGGAAGGTATCGAGCGAATGTCGACAGTTTGGTTCCAGATGTTTTGCTCGAGGAGTTTGCGCACCCCCGGTAAATCACGACTGTAACGTTCTGCGGATTGCGCCAGCCGCCCTTACAATAACAAGGTCAAGCGAGAACCTCAGATAAGCACCACTAAGTTATTCAAAACATACCCGAAGAGAAGGGTGCGTAGGCTACGATTAACCTAGGACCAACAAAAACCTTTCCGCCCGCCGACAGATGCTGTATATATTGTAAGATATTTTAATTATGAAAGAGAATTACAAAGACAAAGGAAATGAATATAAAGTAGACAGCGAAGGAAAATAGTAAAAAATAGAATGACAGCAAAAATTAACGGGGTGAAAAACAAGCGAATGATAGAAGCATAATGAGGGTAACGATTGATATTATTATAACACTGAATAAAATGTTTCAACGAGCAATTTCTGATGTGCAGTTATTTTGTCTCTTTTTTTTTTTTTTTTACTTACAGATGCTTTGTGACTATCAATTTATTAATCTATTCTATTAAAAAAAAAAAATTAATTTTAAGCTTAATTTTAAGATATGGTTTGACATTTTGCGTAAAGTAAACTTTCAATAGTTAAACTTGAAAACTTCGTTCTAAAGTTCTAAAAAGAATGTTCTATTCGTCAGCTATCGGTTCGTCGTAGTTGGCCCTTTGAAATTCCCGCCGATGCCGCTGAAACAAAGTAGCGGCCCTTACAAGTGCTAAGGTATCGACTCCCCGAGACAATAAAGAGAAGCGGTAATCCCGTGGCAAGATAAAAGGGTACTATTATTTTCATGCCAATTAGCTTTTGAATGAATAAAATATGTTAACTCGATCTTCTCGATGCCGCTCGTTTGATCTGGTTTAGTAGTAAGGTCTTTGTCAACCAAACTATATTGCAAGAATATAGCTTTCTATTTATAATGTAATATAATATTATATGTAAAGCACCGACATGCACGGTCGACTCTCACTGCGCCATAAAAAAATCCAACGGATTAGAAAAGGGTGGTGATGATATTATGAAAGCTTTACGTCAGCGATAAACCTATTTTTTGCTAATAGATATTGGCAAAAAAGCATATGTTATTATAACAAACGCATTTGCAGTTTCGACCAACCGTAGAAATTTACGGTACCGTACTGCCTGCGCTGGAACGAGTGCGCTGGAAGGATTGTATAAGGCATTTCTCCCGCTAGTGACCTCCGAAACGGAAAGAACCTTTCAACGGACCGGTTGAACACTAGTCTCCGGCAGTAGAACATTGTCATTGCCGCAAATTTTCAGTAGGTTGGCTAAAAGCGACAGAATGGACAATTAGGTTACCTGCCTTTTCCGCAGTTTGCAGCTCGCTGTATACAAAGGAGCTTTCAACATTGCAGGTTGTCGGCTTGAGCGAGTAGAAGTGTGACGGCTTCCCAGAAGCATAAAGGAGTCGTGCGACACCACCTACACTCCGTAATCTCTGCGTAATCAAAACTGAACAAGCGCTTCGTACGAGGTTGGCCCCTTCGAGAAATCCTTCGGACGTATGAGAATAGAACTAGTGGAAGTCTTTTGAAGATTTTGTCTAGATGAAACGGGCTCTAATAGATGGATGGCTGGATCGTTATTAACCCACAGATGCCAAGTTACTTCTAGAATTGGCGCATCGAGCACTCCATGTGGAAACTGCTGGAATCTATTTGCACATTTACGAACCGATTATCTACGCGGTTGTTCCGACCCAGTTCTTGGTTTCCGCGATATAT